AAAGCCACCCACACGAAGTACAAACACAAAGAAGATGCAGACACAAAGTTTGGTCACCACATGCGATAGGGTTCTAGTAGTATAAGTGGGTCAAAAATTAATGAGAAACAGGTAGTTTTATCCGGGTCATTATATCTTACTTCACCACCAGGATCAAATCGGATTGACGATCCCACGATCTTATAGGAAAAGATCGCAATCTCCAGCGATCTTGGCTGATTCCAATCTTGTTTGCGATCCAGATCGTGGAGGTTGAGCAAGATCGTGCGATCTCACGATTAAGATCGCGATCTTGACAACATTGGTTGGAATTGAGTTCTAACGACCATGTCAGAATACAATTGTCATAACAGATTTTGTAACTAATACAGATTAGTTATAGCTTAAAACATAATGCTAGAAAAGAGAAAAACTAATACAAAACTAATACAACCGAGTTGTATACTCTAATAGGGAAGTTTTATCATATTCCAATACACCAACTATACTATATGGTAGTAAATGTTGAGTCTTAAAGGAAGAACACAAAAATGAGAATATAAGGTAGATAGGTATTCACACGAGAAATGACAAGATAAGAAATTATCACATTCATGAAAATGTTGAAATAGCACCTATAACGAAAAAGATAACAAAATTGTCTAAAATGATTTGGTCTCGTGTAAAGAAGACCTTTAGAAGTACTAGTAAAGAGAGAGAATGACACAACTTTCAGCCTCATAAAAAGGAGTAGATGGAGACCCAAAAGAACCTTAGAGAAAGTTATTAAAAGAGATCTTTTAATTAATAATATTTTTTGAAATTTTGGTTTTGATCAAACTCAATAGTATCATGTGATCTATGTAAAGAACCTCACCTAGTAGACTAGCGGGATAAGGTTTGATTGTTGTTGTTTCTATTTCAGGCCTATTTAGGGATTAGGGTTTGTTTGGCATATAAATAGGCTTTATAAACAGTTGACAGCTTTTGAATAATAATTTACTTCTATTCTTATTTTCTGTGAGTCGGGAAGTGCTTGCCCTAGAGAATTATTCGAAGTATATTAAAGTAAAAACGTTAAAATTGCATATGGTTCTTGTTGAAGTCTCACATCAACTATAAATATGGCTAAATAAGAGCTTATAAAGGCTAAAACAATTCTCACCTTAAAAGCTAGTTTTTGGGGTTGAATTAGGCTTAAAGCCCAAATTAAACATGGTATCAGAGCCTATTATAGATCTAATACTGGGTCACCCTAGATTGAAAAAAAATTCTAACCCTAAAAATTTTCTCAATGCAATTAACTTGGCTCCATGGATTTCCCAGTGCAACTTATCTGGCCCTGCGACCTTCTCAGTGGTACCTACTTGATCTCACAGCTTACAATGCTATATTAAAAAAAACAAAGTTTTACAATTTCCACACTCTAAATCTCTAATCTTGTTGAAGTCCCACATCAACTATAGATATGGCTAAATAAGAGCTTATAGAGGACAAAGCAATCCTCACCTTACACACTAACTTTTGGGGTTGAGTTAGACTTAAAGTCCAAATTTAACAATTCTTTTACTGCAATAGTTGGTGTTGATTCTGAATCCATTTTGAGTTAACTAACTCTCCATTATGTCCTACATGTCCTTAACTTATGTGCAACCTTTTGTACAATTGCAATAGTTGTGGTTTTTGACTCTTGTAAATTTCAATATTTGAAATCACGAAATGATTGGCAGTGCTAAAGAAGTAGATGGCATCTAAATCTTCAAAGATGGAACTGTTTCTGGGATGAAGAAATAATGTGAGTGGCATTGTAGATTAGGTCATCCAAGTTTCTTGTATCTAAAACACTTATTTCCTAAACTTCAAGAATAAATCCTTCTTCAATTAATTGCAAAACTTAAATTAACTAAGCTTCATCACTCTACTTATTCCCTTCAATCTTACAAAAAGTCTAGTCCATTTACTCTAATTCATAGTAATGTGAGGGGGGCCAGTCAAGATGCTACACCCCTAGGAAAGAAGGGGCTTCTCACTTTCATAGATTATCAAACTAGACTGACTTGGGTGTACTCAATGAAAGAGAATTCAGAAGTAGAGGGAATCTTCCAAAGGTTTCCTAATTGATAAAAACCCAATTTCAGTAACAAATAATAATCTTTGGTAGTGGCAAAGGGAGAAAATATTTCAACAATGTTTAAATAATTTCTTCTGACGAGAAAGGATCATCCATCAAAGTTCTTGTGTTGATACCCCACAGCTAAATGGGGTGACCAAGAGATAAAAAAAAATAAACTTGGAAGTTGCTCAAGCATTGTTATTTCAAACCAATATACCTAAATATCTTTTGAGGTGATGCAATCTAGATTGCAACTTAATTAATCAATAGAATACCAAAAAAAGTGTCAAATCTAAAACCCTTTTGGATATTTTCATAAGAATTTTTCCAACAAATAGACTATCCACTTTCTTGCCCATAAAGATATTTGGTTGTACAGTTTGTGTTCACCTCATGAACCAAATCAAAATAAACTTGATCCTATAGCAAAAGAGTGTGTTTATTGGTTATGCATCCAATCAAACACTACAAGTGCTTTGATCCTATTTCTAAAAAGAATTTTAAAACCATGGATGTTACCTTGATTTTGAAAACACCTTGTATTTTTGTACGCATCTTCAGGGGGGAGAAGAGTTGAAAACTCACAGCAATACATTCAGACCTTAGGGATAGAATTTTTACAGTCAGATTTTTCAATCTTGGAAAAAAAAATCTGATGTTCAAAATAGTTATTTCCAAACTTTAGGGATAGGATTTTTAGGATAAGATTTCTTAACTCCTGAAAAAAATCTGAAGAGAAAAATAATAAGTCAAATAAGAAAAGTGTCAAACATTGAAGCTGCAAATAAAGATCCGCAGGCTATATCATGTTCTGAAAGCCTTGAAACAGAGGAGATGAAACAATCAATGACCAGGGGCCAAATGATACTAATATTTTCTCTCTCAACAGATACTATAAAGATGAATGAACCTCAACAGCGCCAAGAGCATGAAAGCCCACACCAGGTAATGTGCTTTTTAAAATTGTACAGACTGTCCAGCTGACTTCTAATCCATATATTGAGTATGTCAACTTGGAGTAAAATCAGTCTAACCTTTCCATAGCATTCCATAAAGGTGTAAGGTCTTGCACTAAATATCCCATTTCTAACTTTGTGTCATATGATAGCTATAATTTCTCGTTCAATCCCTATAATCAAGGGATTTGGTTTGTACAGTAATTATAAATATCACGGCTTCTGAATGCTAATTCACACATTCAGACTTGCCTTCATTGTTTGTGCTATTCTGTCTCAAGATGGTATCAAAGCTCACACTCCATGGGCCTGATAACAACAACAAAAATTGCTACACTTCAAGAACTGTCAACCCCAGTTGTCCTCACCCGGCCACCATTCAGCCTGAGACTTCAGCCCTAGTCCCAAAAGCCTTTGATCGGCTGTCCTACCAATCGCTGTCACCTTCCGGTTGTCCACACACTGTCACATCAACGGCATGTGTATGCCACGCGCCACCCTTCACACTGCCGTTCATCTCACTATTGATGCCATTCTCCATGTCAGCACACCGTGTCTCTTTTGGCCCTGGGTGTCAGTTCCCAAGTTGGTGAATTTTTAGTATCTTCCTCATCTCACCTTGTTAGATATCACAATGGTTTCAGGTGTGACAGAGTCAACTGCTACCTCTGACAGATGTGGTCTTCAAGCAAAACCTCAGTATCCTTTGTTTTCTCTAGAAATCCATCAGAAACTTCAAAGAAATTTAATGGGAAAAATCATATCAATTGGCAAGCTGCTGCGGGAATCTGGTTATAGAGTCAACGCCACTAGTGAGAAGTCAGATATACATATACAATCTAACCGCACAACATACCTAGTTACAAAGATCTGTGCTTAAAATATGTGAACACTCTACATCAACCAAGCGAAACTAACTAAATTTTAAACCTATAACACTGTTCAAGTTAGCTAGAGATTCCTAGATTCCTTTAAAACAATGAACTACTGAGAATATGCTGTCCTTCATTCAATTCAATTGAATCTCATAATTTCCTGACAGCAATGCTTGTTTCCATGAACAATGATAAGATGAAAGTGTCCAAGAACATGGAAATCAGATAAAGGGATGTGCAATAAAAATCCACCAAGTACTTGCTATTGTTTCACTCAAATCCATGTTTAGTGCAGGAATTGATTCCAGCCTCTTTATTCTGCGCAATCAATGAACACTGTGAATCAAAAAGTAGCCCATTTACAGAAGATATCAACAAATCATCCCATACTCTTGATTTTTCATGTCTTTCCCTGGATTGCCTGATAATTATGTTAGCCTTCCATCTTGCCAATAATGCACAAGTAAATTTAAGGCATCTGAATATCTGATAGTGAGTAATGACCACAGTCATAGGATATTGACCATCTACACTACCATTTCCAAATTGTGGCAGGGCCAAAAGAATACCATAAACCTTCACTCAGAAATCTACTGAAACCAATTCCTAACTTGCCTTTACTATTCCATTTCATGCAATATGTAGATATTGGAACATCAATTTCAAATTACTGTCTGGAGGGTCTAGTCCACAGTCCATAGTCCATAGTCCATAATCTCTCTGTGTCTCTCTTTCTCTCTCTAGCTGAGAGATAGGCCCCAAAAGACATAACAAACATAAACAGATATTTGTTACAGTTCCCAATATTTGACGACACAAAAAATTATAAACATTTCACCAATAAGAAAACCAAGACGAAAAAAAAGAAAGAAAGAAATTCTTAACAGCTGCACAAACTACATCTTCACCTCAATCTTCTAATAAGAAAAATCATCAAATTCATTGCAACAATTAGTGTTTAATCACATCTTATAATACCCAAAAAAACTACCAAAATAAAAACAACAAGAGTCGTTGACTCTGACCAAAAATTCAACTAAACAATAAAAGAAAATTAAAAAAATAAAATTCACTCACCTCTTCGTCGTTCCAATCAAACATTTCTTATAATTCGAGCAACACAATCCACAACGCCAAAACCAGAATCAAACACCAGGCATCGGGTTAGCTCACTCATCGCCGAATTCACCCCAAGATCACAGAGAAACGCACACCATTAAATCGAGTCCAGAACGAAACGGCGTCGTCTCACACTTCGCGCTTCGCAGATAGATAAAAGTGTTACAGAAAGGAAAGAGAGCCGAAGCTTTCAGTTGCAATCTTCACAGAGCAAAACGGTACCCGAGAGTTCCAGAGAGCGAGGGAAAGAGGAAACAGAAGAGAGACAGTGTATGGGGTCGGGTGCACGTGACGTCACGTGGGTGGGTGAATGGTTTAGAATCGGAGTGTGGGGCCCACACGCTAGACACGTGTGAAAGGAAAAGTATCTAAAGTAGTGGCCAGTAATCGCCCTATCAAATGCTCTAACCTCATTGGTTCGTTTTTCTTCTCTTTTTATTTCTTTCATTTTGTGTTTCGGGTTTTGGGGCTGTCGTTTTTAGCTCGTTCGATGGGTTTCCTGTGAGCTGGGTGGGCCCCGCGCTGGACCCGTTTGTGGCTAAGGTCGCATTGGGAGTCGCTTTCTTATGGGCCTGGAGTGGGCCCGGGACCTTTTAGGTTGTGTCCATATTTATTATACAATTGAAAGAAAAATCAATTCAATGCTTTACATTCAAATTTCCAATTATGCTCAAACATTTATCAATATCTTCACCAAAAAACACATATATCAAAATAAAATAAAAAACCATAAAGGTTTTCGCGTTTATAATTTTTTGGTTTTGTTGTGCTGTGTAATCCCCAAAAGTAGCTAATATGGTTCCCTGATTTGGTTTCCATTCATTAAATTCAATAAATATTTTTTTCACAGAAAAAATATTATTTGAATATGTTAATTTTCAAATAAATTATACTCTTTTTCATCAACAATGAATGGGTTGGGTAAGTAAAGTATGCATCTTTTCTAAAAGAAAACAAAATGTTTGAAGAGGGAGAAAACTTTTTGTAAATTTGAATTTGCAAGTTTGTGTGTCTACTTTAATAGGGTAACAATTGTACGAAATGCAACCTCTTGAATGTGATAAAAATGTTTCAAAAAATGTCATTTGTATTTATCAAGACGTATCATATTTAGTATGAAAATATTATGGAATATTTTTTTAAAATAATAAATTGCAACTAAAAAAGAATCGAATCATGTATAATACTCTGCTGAAGAGATATTTATTGTACAAAATATTTTTAAATTTTTTAGAATTATTTTTTTTATAAATTATGTTTCTTGTGAATTCAAAAAATATATTTGATATGTCTAAAATATTATTTGTAATGTTAAAAAATAATTTTTAAAAATATTTCTACCTCGTATTTGATTTATTATTTTTTAAGAAATATTCTTGAAATGTTAAATAATATTCTTTTTAAGAATATCTCTATCTTGTGTCTTATTTAAATATTAGTTTTAAGAAATATTAATGTTTCTTCTAAAAATATTTTTTTTAAATATTCTTTTCCTCTCTTATTTTCTTTCTAATCAAGGGGGTAAAAGCCCATTCTTTTACTCTCTTTTGTATATTTGAAAACAAATAATATTATATAACATTGTCATCTAGGTGGGCACATGTAAAAGTTTCCTAAGAATGTGACGAGTTAGAAATTATCAGAGTAAGATAAGTTATTTTGTTTCCTTCATATTTTTTAATATTTTTAAAAAATATTTTCAAAATTAATTTAATAATTTTTATAAGAAAAATATATGAACATTGTTTTTAAGAAAAAATTGTTTTTAGAAATACATTTTTCATAAAAACATATTTATGAAAACATAATTTTGTAAAAAAAAATTTACTCATTTTATAAAATATAATTTTAATTTTTATGATTATAATTTATTAAAAAATAAATTTAAAATTTTAATTTTCAACAAAATTATTATAATTTAATATTAAATTTTTAATATTATTTATATTCTTAATTTTTAATACTTTTCAAAATATATATACATATATATATTGTATTGAAAAATTAAAAGCTAATTTTAAAAAATTATTAAATTTAGTAAAAAGATTATTTTTCATCTAAATATAATGTATATATTATTTTCTATATTTTAATCTATGTCAAATGCTAGATAAAATAATATAACGTTATCTACATTACACTATTTTATATTTTTTTGAAGCGGTTACTTACAAAATAAAATAATATAATTGTTCTCTGAAATGTCACTATAGACAGCGGTTACATACTAATCTTTCTTCAAAGTCATTTTTGAAAAGCAGTTGTATGTCTTTCACTCTCATAAATTAAAATTTAAAAAAATTCTAACAACTTATAGTTTATAAACCCACGTAAGGAGCATTGCTCAACTTACAGCAATTCCATGAATCTCTCTTTTATTTTTTTTAACTCTAATAAAGTTAATCTCTTTTACAACTATAAGCACATTTTTCACATATCTCTCTTTTTTTCTTTTTCTCTCTATTAAAATGAAATTTCTTATCATTTTAATCTTTTTTTTTTAGTTTACCAATATTTCGTTCATTTAGGTATGGACTGTTTGATAAATACAACATATAAACTGGAGTTTCAACAAAACAAAAAATTAGTTTTAGTTTTGTGATAAAAAAAAACTCAAATGAAAAAAGTTTGAATTTCAGACATACAAACTAAAGTTTGAATGTAATAAAAAATTTCAAATTTTAGATTTGCTCTTTATTTGAAGAGCAGTTTTTATACATACCATCTCTAGGTAACATTTGGAGAGTGATTATAAACTGCTTTCCAAATATATCTACTTTGGATATCAATGCATTTTAGAACATTTTTAACTACTCTCTAAAAATATGCAAAATCACTCTAATATTTTTTTGTTGTTGTAGTATTACTTTCACATCTTAACATGCTTTTAAACATGTTTTTTATTTAAAAAAAACTTTAAAAGCGTCACCTTTTTCATAAAGAAATTAAATATGTCCTAAATGAACTTAAAGCATAAATCGTACAAAGTTTGAACATTTTACAAATTAAACATAAGTTACACTAGACTTAGACAACTTGCATATAAACACATCCCATGCTAACATTAAGCATGGTCTGTGCTCAACCACAAGTCGCTTAAGTCTGGTGTGACTTATGCTTAGAACATAAATTGTATGAATAAGGTGTAACTTATCAATTAGCATAAGACGTGCTATCACTGAGAATAGAGTGTGCTCAATTAAAAACAAGAATATAAATTATGTTAACTTAGTGTGACTTATAATATAACTTTAATCGTCTAAACTTTACGTGTCTTATTATCCACTATTATATAAATATTCGTTAAGTCTTTGTTGGTATAACATATTGGACTCAAATCCTAAAACAGACAAATTTGGTAGAAATGACATAAACTTGTTATATACTTGTTCATTGCAGTGACGAAGTTACAAATACCATAGAGGGGGTTATTTTCAATTGTGAAAGACCGATTTACATTATTGTTAGTCCAACTATAAATTTTTTGTAGTTACAAAGCAACATATTTCAGCAGTTAGACTAAGCAAATAATAGACAAATTACTCAATTTACAATGATAATGCTATGAGTAGGATGTTTAATTTTCAAGCTCGATTTACACAGATTTTCACTATGGAAATATTCATAATTATGAAAGAAAGTCAATTTTGTTCTAGAGGTTTTAATCATGTTGAATTAGTTGTTAAGGGCATCCTACTCCCTAAATGATCATGAACAACCAAGAGAAAATGTTAATAATGTTGTGGCAAATCTAATTTTTTTGACCTTGTTGGTAGTTTTAATTTGTCAAATTTTTTTTAGCACAAAGAAGATGTTGAAGAAGAGAAATTTTATATGCCTATACATAATGAGTGATGATGGGCCTAATAAAGGATATTAGTCAGACGCAACACTTGATGTCATAGTCTTTGTCAAAGTCATAGTGTTAATGACAATGTAATCACTAGTCAACATTGAATTTGAATGGAATGAATTTAAATAGTGTTGATTGATTATTATGCAAAGTTAATGAGGACACTAGAAATTTTTCTTTGGACATACAAATAGAGCCCAAAGTGAAACAATTGTTTAAGGACAAAGAAGTTGTGTTATTTGTAATAGAGTTACAATATTGAAAGAAGGGTGACAGAAGTCCAGACATCTTTATCATCATACATAAAACTCAAGCATAATCCATCTCACAGCTGAGTGATAATATGACCTCCACCTAAACTATGATCACAAATAACATAATATTAACACCATATTAAAATGATGATGATAATACTACAAAATCATATTATTTTGCATACCGCTTCAAGACTAATTGTGTTAACTTTTATCCTAGTTGCCACCAACCATCCATTATGTGTATTAGAAGAACATTTAAAACCCAACCACATGAATATAATTGTCAGTCATTACAATATTTGCATAACAAATTACATTATGTTTTACATGATCCATGAATTCTTGTCTAATCATATGTGCATCTACTAATAGTTCGTTCGTCTACTTGCAACCCTAATTGGAATGTCTCATCTTCAAATGTGATAGTTCACTCCCCTAAATGGAAAACAAAATGTGAGTTTCTAACCATCATTGCTCAATAAGTGCACTAATAAATGTCTTGTCATAATAGTAACATTCAACTTATGATAAGATCCAAAATCTAGCTATTTCATGATAAGGTTCATGTGATTTAATTATTGTCAGTTTACGCCTAGTATTGAGGACAAACATAGATTAAATTAAATAAATTAACTGAGGTTAAACAACCAATCAATATTACAACCACTAAACTAACTAAATTAAAGAAATATAAGTCAAAATTAAATTTAGTCTAAGTAAACAAAAAAAATTAATAAAATGTATTTTTCAAAATTTATTTTTAACTACTTGATATGAATCAATTACCAACTCTTGTAACATTACACATACGTGTCTATCATCATTATAATAGTTGAGATTTTCTGAATTCATAAATTTTGGTCAATTTTTTCCTTTCAATTAAATACAAGTCGTGCTCACTAGTAGTATATCTACTTGAATACAAGTCATGCTTACTAGTAGTATATCCTATGCTAATTCGTAAATCACACTTCTTTCAAATGATTTATGTAATAAGCACAAGTCGCATCGACTTGGAGTTGAGCACATTATAATATCATTTGACCAAAAGGATTAAAATGTTTGATGACTCTTAATTTCAAGAATTAATGTTTAAAAGTATAAATACAAGGAACTAATTTATATAAAATAGCAAATCTCAAGAATTAAAATGAATGTTTAATAAAAAAAAA